AGGAAGGAAGGAAGGAAGGAAGGAAGGAAGGAAGGAAGGAAGGAAGGAAGGAAGGAAGGAAGGAAGGAAAAGAAAGAAGAAAAAGGGGGAAATGTGGTTCCATATAAACTCATAAATCAGGATTACTACTCTGACCAGAGGCCAGAGAGAACAGGTCTGGAGTGAGGTCAAATGTGTCTCCTCAGTGTCCACGGCCCACACACCATTACATGTCATTCCTGTGAGCCAGGGGACAAAACATTGTGTCAAATATTATTCTTGAGACTTAAGGTCCCATAGAATTTGCCTTGCTAAATTTTTACCTGACACTGGGACCCATCATTCCTCAGGTCTTTCCAATGTTTCCCTTTTGGAATAAGAATATCTAAACCTGTCTGGCCATTGGAATTTGGAAGCAAATTTCATGTAGGATTTCATAGGATTACAAATAGAAATATGGCTTACAGGTGAACTGGACTTAAAGTCCATATTTGATTTAGATATTTATATTAGAGATTTTCAGTTTAGAGTTCATGCTGATATGAGTTAAGGATTTGAGGTCTGGGGATGATATGAATGTATTTTGTATGTCCAAATAACAACTCTGGTGCTGTGGAGAAAGCCAGCTGTTGACTGAATCATATTCCCCACAATGTAAATACTGATGCCTCACCTCTAATGTGATATGACTTGGAGCAGGACATTTAAAGAAGTTATCAAAGTTGAACAAGGTCCTCTGGTGTGGCCCTCTCTGGGAGGAACAGGCACCACGAAAGCCTGTGCAAAGGAGACCGGCCAGTGGAAGCACAGCACAAGAGGAAGCCATCCACCAGCCGAAGAGAGGGGAGGCAGGAGCCATACCTCAGCCGGTCTGGGAGAGGACTCCCGGGCTCCACATACCTGGCAAAATACATTTCTTTTGCCTAAGCCTGGGGTATTTTGTTAGGGAGCCCTAAAAAACCCACACTGCTAACTGAAGAAAGTCAACCATACACCAACAATTTCATCAACAAGTGAGGACTTTCCCCCTATTCCATTTCAGGAAAATGGGACATTCATTCGCTAGTGACCTCTGCCAGCTTCATGCTCCTGGAGAAAGGAAGGAAAAGGACAGGCAAACACCTCTCGTGCTAGGAGCTGATGGCCACACTTATTCCTCCTAGGTCTGTGGTGGTGAGACCCCCGCCCCACCCCGACCCCAGCAATCCCTGCACACATCGGCTTCTTCCTAGAGCAGGTCTGCTGATGTATGTATAACGAGGGCAGAGTTAAAGCCAAGGCCACGCCCAAACAAACAGCTTCTCTGTGGACTGGACTGAGTCCTCCAGTCAGAGGTGACATCCCATTCCAGTCCTTACACACACATGCAGTTGGCGGGAAGCTCCTACTTAGAGTGTGTCCTCTGGTGTCGTGTGAGAAGAGACTTGAAGCCAAAGGCGCGCCCGCACTGGGGGCACGGGTAAGGCTTCTCCCCCGTGTGGCTCCTCTGGTGCCCGATGAGGTTGAACTTCTGGCTAAAAGCCTTGCCGCACTGGGGGCACACGTAAGGCTTCTCTCCCGTGTGTGTCTTCTGGTGCCTGGCGAGGAGTGACCTGAACTCAAAGGCTCGTCCACACTCCGGGCACTGGTAAGGCTTCCGCTCCCCATGGGTCCTCTGATGTCTGATGAGAGAGACCTTCTTTCCAAACGCATGCCCACACTCGGCACACAAGAAGGGCTTCTCCCCTGTGTGAATCCTCTGGTGCCTAATGAGGTTGAACTTCTGCCTAAAACTCTGGCCACACTGGGAACACACATAGGGCTTCTCCCCTGTGTGTGTCTTCTGGTGCCCGATGAGGTTGAACTTCTGGCTGAAACCCCTGCCGCACTGAGGACACACATAAGGCTTCTCCCCTGTGTGTATCTTCTGGTGCCTGGTGAGCAGTGACCTGAACTCAAAGGCGCGTCCACACTCGGGACACTGGTAAGGCTTCTCCCACCGTGCGTGGGTCCTCTGGTGTCTGATCAGCGTGGCCTGCTTTACAAATCCACGGCCACACTCCGGGCACAGAAAAGGCAGCTCCCCCGTGTGGATCCTCTGGTGCCCGATGAGGTTGAACTTCTGGCTAAAACCCTTGCCGCACTGGGGGCACACGTAAGGCTTCTCCCCCATGTGCGTCTTCTGGTGCCTGGTGAGGAGTGACTTGAACTCAAAGGCGCGTCCACACTCGGGGCACAGGTAAGGTTTTTCCTCTGTGTGGATCCTCTGGTGCCTAATGAGGTTGACCTTCTGGGTGAAACTCCAGCCACACTGGCGACACACGTGGGGTTTCTCCCCGGTGTGCGTCTTCTGGTGTCGGATGAGCGTGCCCTTCTGGCCGAAGCGTTGCCCGCAGTCCGCACAGACATAGGGCTTCTCCCCGGAGTGTGTGACCTGATGAGTGAGGAGCCTGGAGAGCAGCCTGAAGCCTCGCCCACACACCGAGCACAGGAAGGGGTTGTCGCCCGAGTGGGAACTCCACCGGTGCTGCAGCAGCGAGGCCTTCCGGCAGAAGCCCCTGCCGCACTCGGGACACACGAAGGGCTTCTTGTCCAGGTGAGTCCTCTGGTGAAGAAGGAGGTCTACCTTCTGGCGGAAGCATCGCCCACACTCCGGACATACCAGGGGTCTCTCTCCCGAGTGAATAATCTTCTTGTGGTTGTTGAGAGAGGATACATACATGAAGCCTCGCCCACACTCCCCACACACATACGGCTTCTCTCCCGAGTGCTTCCTCTGGTGGACAGTGAGAGAAGCCTTCTGAGTGAACTGGTGCCCACACTCGGAACATGAGTAAGGCTTCTCCCCTCCGTGCATCCTCTGGAGCTTCACGAGGTCTGACCTCTGGCAAAAGCCTCTTCCGCAATCGGGATATCCATGATGCTTCTGAGAGCTGAACAGGCTTGCGGCAGCGGCAGCGTTCAGCTCTAATGGAAATGCTCCATCTATGACTGCTCCAGATTCTGACTCGTCGGACCCCGTCGACATTGTGCCTGCCTTCTCAGGGGTCCCTCCTGGGGCCAGGTCAAGGTCTGTTTGTTTCCTGTTGCCTTCTACCCAGTACACTGCCTGACCTTGGCACGGGCTAAAGAGCGTCTTCAGGATCCTCGACGGACTTGCTCTCTGCAACAGAGCGTCACTGCTGCAGTCTCCCTCTTGGTCTTTACCGCTAGAACAGTCTGGAGCTTCTGGCTGGAGGTTGCTGCCTGCTCGTGGGCTTGGGAAAGTCTGAGGGGAGTGTCCACTCATCACACACACTCTGAGGACTTCTGGACTAGCAAAGGATATCGGGCAGGAGAGACAGGACTCTAATTCTGTCCTGGGTTCTGCTAAAGAGAAAGCAGTGGTTAGATTCAGAGATGCCGGTGGACAGCGACATTTCCCCAACAGTCATTCCCGAGGTGTTCACCCACCCCCTTTACAGGCCTATCTCCCATACTCTACTGCAAATAGTCTTCACACAGCTCTGAACGTCAGGAAACCAAAACACTGAAAAGCTTCGTGGGCAATGTCAGCATGTAAACTACTACAATTAGTTACTCATGGTGGCATGAACATCCACAAATACTTGCTTTTACTCAATGAGTTATTTCATCATTGATTTTCTTTGTTCTATGAGGAAGTGACTCTCCTCATAGAGAAGTCATCTCCCTAAAGATTTCCCCAAATGGGAGAGGCAGTATAAAAACATCTTAGAGAACCATGTGTGATATTAAACTGAATGCTCCCTCACCCATAAGCAAACGAGGAAAACAAGCTGGGTCTCTCTTATCAGTCAGCAGGGATTCAACAGTGAAGTGAGGCGCCATGGCCTAGACCTGCGACCCCTAAAAGGAATCTGACTCCAAGTAACCCAATTAATCCCAGACTTCCTTGGATTTTCAAGTCATAAGAGAGAAATGTTTCCCTCTAATAACAGTACTTGCCTAGGAGATAAGTCAGTATACCTGTCCCACTATAACTGGTTCTTATCTACTTGGAGCTGATGATAAAATCCAATGAGCTCTGACTGAGGACTCAGAATGTCCAGCCTTTCTAGACCTACCTGATTCTTTATGACCAACACAGGTGAGACATATTTCATGAGTCATCGGCAACAGGTCTGCTAACTGTTTAAGATTGTTGTTGGACCATAGTCAATTACTAATGCGCCACTCACATCTCCTTTCACAGTCCAATATCAAAAAGGAGTCATCACAAGGAACACATCCACAGAGTCTAAAATACATACTGTGGAACCTTATACCAGAGATGCTTCCTGAGCCCTGACCCACATCAGTGATTCATTTGACCTGACCTAAAATCAGAGTTTGGCATCCAGAGGGGTCCAGGACATCACGAGAAAACCCACAGAATCAACTAACCTGGGTGCAAAGGAGTTCATAGAGACTGAACCGACAGCCAGGGAGCCTGCATGGGGCTGACCTAAGCACTCTGCATATATGTTACGGTTGTGTAGCTTGGTCCTCTTGTGGGATTCCTAACAGTGGAAACAGGGGCTGTCTCTGACTCTTTTACAGGCTTTTGGGACCCTATTCCTCATGCGGGGTCACCTTGTCCAGCCTTAATACATGGGAGGTGCTTAGTCTCATTGCAACTTGATATGCCACGTTTTGTTGATACTCATGGGAGACCTGCCCTTTCCTAAACAGAAATGGAGGAGGAGTGGATTGGGGGTGAGAACTAAGGGGGAGAACTGGGGGGAGAGGGGAAGGGAAAACTGTGGCCAGGATGTAAAATTAATTAATTAATTAATATTTTTATTAGAAATAAATAAATAGATGGCCAATAAGACTTGGGGGAGGGGAATAACTGCCATGAAGCCCCTTCCTAGCACCTAAGTCCCACTGTTCTTCCTCCTAAGGAAACTATTCAGTGAGCTAGCTCTCTGGGTGTCCCTGCTGGTTGAACAGGCTCTTCTTTACAATTACTAATGCTGTTCCTCCCGGCCTTCCAAACTGTAAGAGTTAACTTTCAGCCTGGTCCCTAGACCTCGCCACCAAAGCTCCTACTGTGGTCAGTTTCCTATCAGTAAGTGTGTTCTAATTCAGCTCACTAAACTTTCATTTATTTTGGTAAGGTAGCTTGCCCATATTAATGTAACTCTTGGCTATTGCTTGTATTTCTAGCTACCAGATATTTATAGCTCAGTAGCAGAGAACTTGTTCGGCATCCACAAGGCCCTGGGTTCAATATTTGGCATCAAATCACACACACACAGAGAGAGAGAGAGAGAGAGAGAGAGAGAGAGAGAGAGAGAGAGAGATTCTTTAATTCTTGAGTTTTTAACAGCTGAAATTTGGGTACACACTGCTGACTACTTACCTATGATTTGAGGGAGGAAAAAGATACCCCCTGCCCTGTCTTACCAATACCCCCACTTGGTCATACATACTAGTCATGCTTACTGCACGTGCTTTTGTGTCCTCAGCAGCAGGGGCAGGAACTGTTGTGTGCCCTGTGTTAATGTGGTGACTGATCTAAGCACAGCTCCCAGTGAAGCACAGCATCTTCCCTCGTAGCTCACTTAGCAGTGTAGACCTGTGGCAAATTTCAGCCGAAAGCAACTGGGCTTGCCTTCTTGAACATGAGTGACTCTCATCCCAGCAAGCACAGGCCTGAACACGACTAAAGACTGATCTTCTCCCAATAAGGGAATTCCTCTCCTGAGTGCCTTCCTACTTAGAAATCATTTCTCAACTTCCCAACTCGAGCAAAAGCCTTGGCGCACATGCCTTTGAGCTGGGACTGCAACACTCCTGTGGAAATCCAGCTCACTGACTACAAATCGTGAGGATTGTCAGCCTCCATAACTGTGTGAGCCGATGCCCTAGAGTTAGGACACCTCCATCCTGCTGATACCGGTGCTGTCTTTCTGAAGAAAAAGAGATTTTTGGTACCAACAAGTACATGTTTCTGTCACATGGAAAAACATAGCAGTTGCTTCAGAACAGAGTGAAAGAGGCTAGGGAAGTTGTGATGTACACACTGAAGGGGCCTAGATTGCCACTAAAGGGAATGATGGTAGGAAATACGGAAAACAAGTTTCTGAACTGTACTCCATTTTCTGTGGAAGAGTAGCCCTTATACACAGTGAAATATTTAACTGAGCAGATTTCTATGCAAAGTATTAAAGTTGCAGCTTGGATTATCCTTACCACTTAATGGAACATGCAAGAAGAAATTAATTGAATTGTTAAGAAGAAGAAGAAAAAAAAAAAAAGTTCTCTGCTTATGCATACTGGGAAGATGAGAAAGCTTGTCCTAAAGAGAACACTAAGAATGTCGCTAAACAGCCTTTCATGCACCATGTAACCACAGTAGTTGCAGAAGCCTGCAACGGACGTGGGATTATAGCACCAGAAACACTGCAGCTGGGGCCAGAAGAGAACAGGAAAACAGGACCCAGTGAAGGAAGGCTGGCATACTCCTTGGATTCCACAGCTCTGGATAGAAGAACTCACGTTTTTAGTATTACGGATTTTTTAGGTGAGGGGTTTTCATCATAGCACCGTCATACATATATGTCATTACATCCTCTCATTTCCTCTCCACTATCTTCCCTCTACCACCTCTATCTAGCTGGTTCTTTAGTCCAACTTCTGCTTTCTTATTACATGTGTTCTATCACCTTCTCTATTTCCTACTTCTCTTAAGTGTCCTCCCCACCTTTATGATTGACACCCTGTTAAGTTTTGTGACACACACATGGAGAGAGAGAGAGAGAGAGAGAGAGAGAGAGAGAGAGAGAGAATTTTATATCTGGGTTCCATATACGAGAAGAAGACATACACTATTTGTCTTTTAACTCTGGCTTATTTTGTTGAACATGATTCCCAGTTGCACTCATGTGCCTGCAAATCCTTTTGGTATATACAGGAGTGATGGAGCTGAGTCACATAATAGTTCAATTTTTAGTTTCTTGAGGACATGTCATACTGATTTCCATAGATGTTGCTTTTGTTTAGATTCTCACTGGCAGCATGCAGAAGTTCCTCTGCCCCACATCCTCACTTGCATTTGCTGGGTTTTTTTGTTTGTTTGTTTTGTTTTTACTGATGATAATCATTCTGATGGGGGTGATATGGAATCTCAAGAACCTTTAATTCTCAGCTCCCTGATGGCTAAAGATTGAACACTGCTTCATACATATATTGTTCACCTGTATTTCTTCTTCTGAGAACTGTTTGGTCCGTTCATTTACTAACTTGGTTCTTTAGTATTTCATTTTTCTAATGGAGCCATTTTGATGTAAACATGCACTGTGCTTCAAAAATGGGAGAATGACCCCCCAGATCAAATCAAAGTCACTTCCACCACAGACGTGAAGTCCACAACTGAGGGGGTCATCAGACCTCCGTGCTTGGTTTCAGAGGGTACAATGGTGGTTCTGGGAAGGCATTCCACTCCTGGCTAATGGCATGGGATGTGGCTTGGTAGAATCCTAGGAATGGAAGCCCTGCCTCAAGTTGGTGGGGGACCTGGCCATTGCCCCTGTGAGCCTGGGAGCAGAACAAGCCCAAGGGGATTATTTGTGAGCCTTGGGCGTTACTGGTATTTGTCTTCCTAGTTTGCAATTTACTTGGTGTTTATCACCCTACTCTTCCTTCTGTTAGTGTAGACAGAAATAGCCTAATCCTAACACACAAGGCACAAAGAAAAGCCCACGAGGGGAAGAACCACAGTATACCTGTCGACATTTACCACTTGAAGTATAGAAAACGTTACCCTCACTTAGGTCTCTTTATCTTCCACACTCTTATCATACCTTTTTTTTTTTAAAGGTAAACTTATGATTTAATCAATAGGACCACAAAAATTTTAGAAGTAAATGACACTCTACTGTAGTACCATTTTTGTTCTCTTTATTATTATTTTCTCCTTTCCAATGCTCCTGCTCCAGGACTTCTCTTATTTTTAATGGTCTTTTTGTTGTTATTTGGGGGTTTGCTTTTTGGTCTTGTGGATGAGAGCAAGATTACTTCTTTTACATTTTCTTCTCTTTGAAGAATTTCCTTACCTATAGTTTAACATAATATATGTCACAAATTCTTTATTTCTATAGTATCAATGTATAATTTTCCTTTCATTCCTCAAGGATAGTTTTGCTAGGTATAGAATTTACAATCCTTTCAGCACTTGAAGAAAATTCTTGCCATGTCCTTATTGACCTAATTAGTTCACATGAAAAATCCTCTATAGGGAAGGCATTTTTTTTCTCACTGGCTGCCTTCCAGATTTTTCCCTTTTTTAGTTTCCAGAACTGTAATTATTATGTGTCTCAGTATTTATGCATATGTTTATTTAATGTTTCTATGGCTTCTTGTATCAATATGTTTATATCTATTATAAAATTTGATACGTTTTCAACCATCATTTTCTCAAATATTTTTTAGTATCCTTTTTGAATTCTGATGACATAAATGCTGTTTTCTTGGTTTTTAATCCCAGAAGTAACTGAAATCATTCTTTTTTCAGTCTATTTTCTTTCTTTGTTCAGATTTATGATATTTTATTGTTCTGGAATCGAGTCCACCAATTCCACTTGGATGTAATGGTGCACATATTTAACCCCACCACTCAGGAGGCAGAGGCAAGTGGATCCCTATGAGATCAAGGCCAGCCTGGGCTACAGAGTGAGACTCTGTCTTAAGACATAATCAAGTTCACTGATTCTATTCATCATTCCAACACTATAGCTAAGCCCATCCGGTGAGTTCATATTTTCTGTTGTATATTTCAGTAACACAACTGCAAATTTATTTTTTACATAAACTATTTCTTTGCTGGTATTTTTATACTTTCGTTTCAAGTGCACTATAATAGGTTGAAAATCCTTAGCATGCATTTTTATTCAGTACTAGGGATTGAACCTAAGACCTTGTGCATGCTAGGCAAGAGCTCTACTCATGAACTATGCCCCCAGCCCTCTTTTTATATCTTACTTTGAAGGTCTCACAGTTGTTCAGGTTGGCCTTGGACTAACTCTACCCAGGCTTCCCTTGATCTTGCTGCTCTCCTACCTCAGCTAAGTGCTAAGCTCACAGTCCTGCATCCGCCAGGCTCTGAAGTCTAACCTCTGACCCTCCCATTAGTCAGCTGAATGTCACTGTCATCTTCAAGCTCCCTGGCTCTTGGGATGATGAGTGATATTTTTTATTCTATCTTGAATTGGCTTAGATTCTGAGCCCTATTTAGATGTCATTTTAAGAAATACACACCCTATTTATGCTCAACACTAAGATACAAGTCAGTAGTTAAGTAAGTTATGATCAATATAAAGTAACTCTACTCACTAATAAAAAATGAATGTGTACTGCATGGATAAATTTGCAAGTAATAATGCTAAGTGTAGAAAACAGTTATATCTTGTATGAATCAATGAACATAAATTCTGGAAGATTCAAACAAATCTATAATCAGGGAAAACAGATTAGAAAGGAGGAGATATTATTGGCAGCTGATGGCTTCTGAGGAAGGAAGGGAGAGTCAGTTTCCTTTAAGAGTGTGGTCCTGGTAGGTCTGCCACACTCTATGGATGGCCTCATACCCATGACTAGATGGGCAACGCAAACAGGACGTGTTGAGTTATATTTAAAAGGGAAGAAAAGGAGGACATGAAGTTGGGAAGTGTGCTGGGGAGGTCTGGAAGGAGTGAGAGGAGAGAAATGGGGGCGAATATAATCACAATACATTGTCTGTGTGCATGAAATTCTCCAAGAATTAATACAACACTCTGCTTTTTTAAAAGAAAGAAACAGGAGGACCAGGAGGGTTGGAAAGCAGAAGCTGTGGTAAGGCACATGGAAAGTCTGGGAATGAGGGACATGCTCGCTGTGTCAGTTGTAACAAAACGTATTGATTTTCATTTTCAATACAGTCTATTATACCTTTAAAACATGCCTTATTTCTTAATACTCATATCTTAATAATATTTTATTATATGTTAATATACCTCAGATAATAAAATTCTTTTACAAAGTCAAAATTTGATATAAAACATAACATCCATATGATTTATTTAGAAGGAAAAAATAAGAGCATGGTGGTGTACACCTTTAATCTCAGAACTCAGGAGACAGAGGCAGACAGAGCTCTGTGAGTGTAAAGTTAGCCTGGTCTACATAGGGAGTTCTAGGCCAGCCAGGGCTACACAGTGAGAGCCTGTCTCAAAAAAAATTTTAAATGTCAGTAAAGTAAAAATAAATGAATGAAAAAGGATAAGCCAGACAGAAATTTGCCTATACATTCTAATATTCATATAAAATTATATGAATAATTATATATTTATTCATATAGGCCTAAATGTTTTAGGGAAATTCTACAATTGTAATCAATAACAAAAGAGGAAAAAAAACAACTTTACTGAAAAGTGGGCAAATGTCTAAAGCAATCAACTCTCTCCCAGAAGGGGACACAGATCACATGAGAAGATGCTCGTATTAGCCACCTACCCCAGGGGCGTCCAAAAAGATGGGGGAATGAGGTCAGACAATACCAAATGTTGGTAAAGATATGTTCAGAGAATTCTCACATTGCCACTGGAGTGCATTCTCTTACCTGTTCAGACACAGTTTGCCATATCTAATCCATCCAAGGCTGCAAATGTGTATGAACCAGCTACTTCAGTCTGGCTATGATTCCTGCATACTTCCACAGTGTCATGAAAGAGTACAGAGTGACACTGTTTAATTGTCAGGAACTGGGGGGGTGCACACAATGAGTGAAGAAATTTACAAACATGCAAACACATGGTATCTGAAGGATAAAGGCAGCCACCAAATGTGAACAGAGGAGGTAGAGAAGCAGGCCAATCTGAGAAGGCACGAGCCTGCCCCCTGGTGGACAGTGGGCTCCTAGCCCACAGGGCTGCCAGATTGCTACAGTTCTTCACATTTTGTGTGATCTTGATTAAGCATTCACAAAGAAAATAAAGTTATGGGAATCTACAGGATGGGTGTGGTGTACAGCAGTTGCCGAGTCAAGAACAGAAACTGAAGAGCACTCAGCAGGGGCAGCCTAGTTAGTCTGGAAGGGCGGGTACTGTTTGAAAGATCAAAAGTGAGTCTGGGAAGAAGACAAGAAGAACCTAAAGGTGCTGCTGGCACCAAGCAGAGAAATCAGGTGCCCTGCTGAGGTAGAGCTCCAGAGGAGCCCTCTCCTGGTAAGCATGGGAGGGAGGGAGGGAGGGAGGGA